TATACTTTATAGGGTCGCCGCTGTTTCCTTCTGGGAGTTACAAACTGCGTGGCCAAATTTATATATCCTGTTCAGTGTATAAAAATACACGTAAAAGCAAGGAACGATAGTCCTACGTGCGTCATCTTTACGCTTACTAGGGTTAAGAATTAAGGCCAGTCTAATAAAAAAAAAATCGAAATTTTTTTGACTTAAATAATGTTTGAGGGTCCTCAGAAACTAGTCAGTTGGTAGAACTATAACCATTTTCTACTATCATTAAACATTTTTGTATAAACAAATTTTGCTTATGTTTTTGATATGAAATTTTACCTCCTTTTGCAAGAAAAATATCTGAAAGCGTATGTACTTTATTAGCGAGTCCTATGTAGATTAAGATCATGTTTCACTTTTTGTTTCAGATAGTATGAGTTCCTAGAATCATCTTAACCCGTAGAGGCCTTCATTTTGTATCAATATAATTTTAATTTTAGACTTTTTAGCGCTCTTGACTGGTTTAACATCTTATAGGTAGTTTTCAAAGAGGAACCTAACAACAAAGCCAAACTTATGGGACAATCCTAATATTTACAAAACGCATGAGAGGTCAGCTTGCAAAAACAAAATTAGTGCACCAACTGAAACTGCATACATAACACTCACATATTCATATAATATATATATGTATATATATATATATAACAACGGAGGCTAGTGCTGCCACTTAGCTGATCGCGCTTAAGTGGCAAGAATGTGGTATTGTGAATGCGGATATTCGATTACATACACACCAACATGCACACGCATATTTTCTTGATTTCTCAGCATTTATGTGTTTAGCTACAAAAAAAGAGAGTAGTAAAAAATTAAATTACAAGCGTTGCAAATTTTTGGCAGAAACTACTTTTCCATATACATACCAACTAAATTAAACACACACACACATAATTAACGAATGTTGTTAACAGAGCGCAATGTAATCTTTAACAAGCTCGCGCCTGAAGCCTACTAAGAGGCAATAATGAGCGTGCATATAAATTGCTGAGAGCTCATGAGCTCATTGAAGGCCGTTTGGCTAGCAAAGTGCATTGTGAAAAATGCCTCGAAATCACGCCCGCTCCCACAAAGTAATAGTTATACTACCGCTTTTGTGCTACTTCAGTGGCTAAAACAATTGCTGCTTGGAGTGTTAACTTGTCCTAAAATGGTTATAAAACCAACGCCAAGTAGACTTTGTTTGTATAGGCACAGTAGACTAGTTAAGTTGAATAACTTCTTATAAATCGGTGTAAGCAATAAAAACATAGGGTTGCCAACCCAAGAAAAAATGTAAAATAATATCTTTAAGCTAATAGTATATTTATGTACTATGTATAGAGTATAAATGAAGTAAACAAAACTCTGAACGACACACCCGCACTCTCGTGTAACGTTTAATCTATGCAATTTCGGGTTAGCTCAATATTTGTATTGCTGCAAAGTAGTTAGCTTGATTTCTCTTAGGGTTCGATATTGTTTAAGGGGTCGGGATAGAAATTCAAAAAAAAAAAGGTTTTGGTCTTAAACACTTTGAACTTTAGGGGCTTAAAAACATTTTTCAATAAATATATTAGTGCAAAAATAATTATTTCTGTGTCCAATTCGCCAATTCGATAACACATCGATGTATTCAGAGAGTGTTTCTAACTGTGCATTTCAAATCGGGCGACGATGGTACACGAAGACTATCCGACGTATCCCCATGAAGTTTAAGCTGTAGTTTCACAATATAATTATCTAGTAAACTACGTACAATTCTTTTGCTATTACTGAAGAATAAAAAAATGTGTTTATACTTTCTAATACATATTTAATAAAGACTGAAAGAAAATATTAAAATTAATTGCTTTTGCTTAGTCTATGAAATGTCAAAGTTAGGCATTTTTTAGGGCTCTAGACAGGTCTAACCCCTTGCGAAATAATTAATCTTTGACAGTGTCAATTATAAGCGATTAAATATTAAATTCAACAAGCTATTCTTAGCATAATGGTAATTTTTATAAGTAACACATCGGGATACACATCGACTCGAAGTCTATATATTCAGAGGTCAAAATTTTGTCTTTTCACTCCAGCTGTGCATATAAGAATTCTAAAAATATTTTTACTGCATATTTTTATTATACAAATTTTAACTTTCCTTGTGGCCAAGAGTATGGCATACGATCACTCGTATTAAGTTTGTCATGATGTTTGTAACCCCCAAAAGGAAACGTCGGAGATCCTATAAAGTGTATATAAATGATCTGAGTCGATTTAGCCATAACCGTCTATCCATATTATACAAGTATAAGCGAAATAGTCTCTCAGTTTTTGAGATATCGATCTGAAATTGTGCAAACGTCCCTTTTGTTTACATCGGATAACTATAGCATATATACAAACTGACCGATAAAAGTTCTTGTAAGGCATCTTTTGTATTTATGAAGGATGTTTTTTTTTTTTTGTTTGCATTTTTATGTGTCAGTTTGTGGGTTTATAAGTTTATATTCTTCCGAAATATAATATGTAGAAATATTTGCATTTTAAAGCTTTATTAAAAATTTTTGTCATTCCATTTTATTACTTTTTTAAGAAAATGCATCACTATTTATTAAGCGTTGGCCACCCTTCTTTTGAAGTCAGTGTGAATAACACACATAAGTATCTCGTTAGAGTACTTATATGCCTGAGGTATGTGTGTGCCACAATTGCCGGCATGAGACCGGCAAAAAATGTTAACAACAGGTTAAACACAAATACACGCAAACAAGGCAAAAAAAGTAAATAAATCAAATATATGCATACCAAGTTGTGCTCTTAAAAGCTGAGAGGCCAACGTCAAATTCAACCCCATCGCTCTTAAATTTACAACGCAACACATTTCATTTTATCAAAGGCATGAGTTGCTCGCATGTGATACCCGCATAAAGCGGTCTGGCTGTCCAACTGCATGCCGTCAGCAAGCGTTTGTTGTATTTGGTATGGCCGTAAGTGTTTTACCTTATGTGCTGATAATGCTAGGCTCTATCGATGTTAATGAAATGCAAATGAGTAGCGAGCGACGCTGATAACTGTAAGTGATAAGCGTTTGACGAGCAAGCAACAATAACAAATACAGAGAGCAGCCAAACAAGTCACATTACTTTTTTTGAAGTGCAATGGAAAATATGAAGGAATTTCAATTTAGGGTATTTAGAAATAGAGAAGTTTATGGTATTTACAATAAGAATTAAAAAAGGGGGCGTTTAGGCGCTGATAATAGATGTAAAAATGTATGTGTAGTACGTATGAGCATGAAGATTTAAATATTATCTGATATCGGATGTCGGAATGGTTATGGATTCGGAGAGATTTTATTATCTTAAGTCACTGTGTGTGGCTCAAAACGATCACCACCCATTGCGAATGTATTATTTGTACTATTTGTTGATATTTTTGTTTGACAACATCATTAGTGTGATTCAGAGCCACTTATATTTTAGGAAATGGATGACGGCTTTCTACGAATCAATAAGTTAATAAAAAAACGGAAAAAACGATGTCTGCGGTTACACCGAAACTATACTTACAAATGCAAAAGATTCCTTACAAGAACTTAATTTTGAAGGGACAGTTTGTATGGCCGCTATATGCTTTAGTGATCCAAACTGAACCATTTTCACCGGAGATTGCACCATTGCCTTTAACAATAGCCTATGCCAAAGTTTGTGAATATATCTCGCCAAATGAAAAGGTTTTCAACACAAGCGCTTGATTCCGATTTTAAAGTGTGCATTACAGCTAACATATATGTTATAGTAAGCCGATATCTGCGATACTTACAAACGAGCAGCTTATTGGAAAGACAAGGACGTGTGTAAAATTTCAAATCGATAACTCAGAAACTGAGGGACTAGTTCGCGTATATACAGACAGACAAACAGTCGGACATGTCTAAATCCACTCAGCTCGCCATGCTGATCATTTATATATTGTATATGTATATTTTATATGCTCTCCTTCGTGCCAAAACTTAATACACCCTCTTCAGGGTACAAAAATGCAATGACGACAGAAAATTGTAGACACACCACTTTGATATTATTTTTATGGAAAGAAATTTGAAAAGAATATAAAAATTAGTAGATAAAAAAAAATTATTAATAATCATTAACACCAGCTTTTTCGCGCCAGCTCAAGCCTAACCTTTAACTATTTTATAAGTAAATCAAAAAATATCTTTCAATATAAAAGAGATGCGCTTGCTGGCAAGAAAGAGAGCGATTTCCGCCTCGCTATACAAATTACCAATTAAATATTACAATTACGTCCAACTGTGAACGCTGAGTGTAATACACAGCAACACACACATAGCGCACCTCAACGGGCCGTCAAACGCCTTGAAACGGCCTTTCCCGTAAGCATTGCCAAACCCATTCCAGCGGGAGTTTTTCACTTAAAAAAGTCAAAGTTAAGAGCTCGCTCTCGCCTATACAATGGTCTCACTGTCCATACATACATACTATATACATGCATATGCGCACCACTACCAGCACAGCACAGCTCTTACTCGGCACTTTCCACTTTATTTTGCTTTTATTTTGGCGATTTTTTCGATTGCATTGAGAGCGCGTCGTCGCTCACTTGTTGCTTACAACAGCTGTGGCCACAAAGCGCTGCAAACCAGCCAACACCATCAACGGCCGCCAGCGCCAACTCACCATTACACACGCGCTCAGCAGCCGCAATGGGTTCACCGTGCGTCGTCATGCCGCTGATGTAAATGTGAGAGTGTGCGCGCGTATGTATGTGTGTATATATCCGCTTTTTCGGACATGGCATATGTGGTGATGGTGGTGTGTGCGTCAAATGCGGCGAGCACACGAGCACTCAAAAGGTAGGCGCGCGTTGGCTTTGCGATGGAGTCACTGTCGGCGGTGAGCGCACGCTTCGCTTAACTGGCTGTGTAAATGTGTGTGTATTTTCTTGCTCTGTTGCTTTTGCCGCTGGGGCTGGTTCACATTGAAAAGAATTTCACTGACTGACATTTAGTCTAGTGCCGTTTTTGGTTGCAGTCGTGCGACGGACAGTCACCGGAAAAAATAATTTTATATATTGAAAATATCAATTGAGAGAGCAAAAGCAAAACAAAATTAACACACATGAAATCGTTATAAATTTTAATTAAATTTAACTAAAGTTTAAAAGTAAAAGCGAACTAAACGTTTAATTTTAATGTTACTGAGTAGCTCAGAAAAGTTCTAATTCAATACGTGGTACACAACAATTGTGCACAGTTAATTATTATCGCCGCCTCAAGCCGCAGTTTGACGACATTTCTTTTCGCCGGCTATCAACAACCGAAGATTTACATATACATATAATATATATTATATGTAATTGTGGGTAGCGGCAAGCAGTAGAGCGCTGTATTATAAAAGTATAATCATATTTTTATTGTTTTTGTTGTTTTTTTGTTATAAATTATTAGTAAGATTTTTTTGTGTTGATAAAAAATTACAAGCGTGACACATTTAGCACGAGTGCGCGCGTATGTGTGTGTGCATGCTGGCATTTTGCCCTTTACGGTTTGTGCAACAACAGCAAAAAAGCTACTAATTAAGGCGAAACCCTATACGCTAATTGCAGTGAAATTTTTAATTAAATAATAAGTGAAATTATATGAAAACTAAGTGTGATTTGGTAGTGGTGAAGAAAACAGGCAAAACTGTAGTAGAAAGTAAAACACAAAACGGAATTGAGCGTAAAAAGAGAATCTTTGTAAAATTTAACAAATTGCAAGCGCTTAAAAAAATATGTATATAAGCAATTGAGAAAGGCAACAAACAAAAGCGCATTGCTAATGCTTGCAAAACTTTATTGCCAATAAGAATTTAAAAACAAGACAACAAAAAAATAAACGAAAAAATATATCATAAAAATATGGTAAAAACTAAAGGAAGAATAACGCAAGAAAATAAGAAAACAAAAAAAAAAATTAGAACGTTAAAGCATATTGTAGCATGAAAAATAATGCATGCATGCATATATGGTTATATATGTACTGAAATAAAATATAAAATGTTTTTATTAGCTAAACTTGAAGTGAAACCGTAAATAAGTAATTTGTAATAGAAAAACCAATTATTTTATGCAAATTTTTATGCAAAAAAAAAATATATATAGATATAACCAAATAAACAATTGCTATCTCAACAAACTTTTTTTTTTTAAAGCACGTTTCGTGAATTTTTTGCTTAATTCTTTTTCACAAAAATTAATTTAATTACAAAAAAAAAATAATTAGTTAAATGAATTAAATTTTTTTATTCTATTTTAAATTTCAACAATATTTCAAAAAAATCTGTTTAATTGTTGTAAATTACAAAATGAATTTACTTTTTAAATTTATATTCAATTTCATAATAATAACTTTAATTAAAATAAGTTTTTAAATTAATAATTCTTTTTTTTAATTTTAATTTAATTAAGCTAAATTATTAAATATAATAATTTTTTTTTAATTTTGAAACAATCTTATAAAAATCAATTTAAAATGAATTAATGAACAATTTTAGTTTTTTAAATTAGTATTTTTTTTTTAATTTCAACTATATTTCATAAAACTTAATGTAAATAATTCAAATAAATGAATGTAAAAAAAATAATGATTTCATTTCATTTCATAAAAATTAATGGAAATAATTCGAATAAATGAATGAAAAAAAATAATGCTTTTAATTTCATTACATAAAAATTTAATTTAAATAAATTAATGTAAAAATATAATTTTTTTAAATTACAATTCAAAATCATAAAAACTAGTATAATTCAAATAAATTCATAAAGAAATTAATTTTTTTTAATTTCAATACAATTTCATAAAAGTCTATTTAATTAAAATAAATTAATAAAATATATATATTTTTTTAAATTTAATAAAATAAAACTTTTTTATAATATAATCAAAAAATATTTAATTTATTTATTTTAAATTTGATTCAATTTTATAAAAATTTATTTTATTAAAATATGTACTAAATAATTAAAAACTTTTTAATTTCATCTCGTTTCATAAAAATTATTCAATTAACTAAAATTAATTTGAAAAGATTTTTTTTTGTGTTTGAAACTGAGTAGTTTTGTAAAGAATTTGGTTAAAGTTTTAATAATTAAATAATTCTTGTGTCAAGAAAACCTACAAGTTAAAAATTTTAGAAATATTTGATTAAAGTCCTCAATTGAAAAGTAATAATTCACGCCTCCTTTACAAGCATGCAATTTTTACTTTGAAAATTTTGCATTTTACAATTCAAAGCATGTGAACTCATAAATCAACGAAAAAGAACAAAGAAAACCAACAATAATACTAATGCAAAACAAAAAACCAGAAACTCACTCATATTTATTGCACTTTGAGCGCGCCAGTCTAAAAAAAGGCACAAAAAAACAATAACAACAGCGGACGAGTAATTGATTACACGGTAAGCAACGGCAACACAGATTCTCCAATGCCAGAATATTGCAAAAAGAACAAAAACACAACACAAACATACTGGCAATAAATTGCACAAGCAGCTGATAGACGATTTGCCAAACGCCCCCACCGCACACGCTGCTCACACGCCCATGAAGATCAACTATGTATGTACATATGTATATATGAATTTATCCAGTATTATCAGCAAACAATACTAGAGCAGTGGGCAACAAGTGGTGCGCAGCGAACAGCCAGGCAAAAATAAATAAGAAATTAGAAGCAAAAATAACAGAATAATCATGACTGAGGCAGAAAAATCAACAGAAGCAGCAAAAGTTAATACGCCAGATAAAAGCCAATTTCTCAACTAGCTAACCAACAATCAACTGTAAAAACCAATAAATAAGCAAGCAACCGAGAAAAACTAATAACAGCCAAAACAGAAAAGTGCATTGCAAAACTAAGAAAAATACACAGAAACACATACACACATACAACTGTATACATGAGCTATATGACATGCAAATGAAATAGGGAAATGCAATTGCAAATGTGAAAGAAGAACTGAGAACGAAGCGCTGCTTCAATCAACATAAAATCCAAGTGGCCGTTAAGCGCGCTGCTAACCAAATAAATATAACCGAAAAGGCAAATACATATACACACATGTACATACGTAGAGTACTTACGTACCGTAAGTCTACCGCAGCGACACTGCTGCTTTGCCTAGAGTTATCATCAAAGTCAAAGGCAAAGTCAACTATTGACGCTGTGACTGATTGACTGACTGGCTGTCGGACAAGTGGCCAGCGTTTATAGTGCAAAATAAGTCATCCATATGCCAATTGGTGGCCAACAACGGCGCAGGAGTAGCCACAAACAGAGCTAATAAGAATTTCTGACACACCAACAAGCATGCATACATAAATACATATGTATATATGGTTACACATACACAAGCCATGCAGTTAGAAAAATAAATATATGTATATATATATGTATGTGTGGTAAAAAGTGTGCAAAGAAAGCAGCAGTTGCAACAGGCAGGCGCAGGCCGACTGCGAGCTGGTAAGTGGCGTGAAAAGTTGGCAAACAACACGAGTGTAGCAAAAAGAGACACAAAAACAAAACACAAAAAAAAGGAACAGAAGAAAAAACAACGCATACAAAACGCAATCAACAGTAAATGCAATATATATGTATGTATGTTTGTGTTTATGCAAGTAGTTTGGAGTGAGCAACAAGTTGCACGACCGTGACAACTGGCAACAAGTGGCCCATACATATGCAGGCACACAATTTTAGCGTTTGCTGCAGAAGCAACAGGTTGCTGTCGGCCAACAAGCAGCAACTGGCAGCAAGTACTCGTAGCTGTTGCATGGAAGCGACCAAGCAAGGACTGTGGTTGCATTGTTTGCTGCGTTGATGCAACAGTACATATTGAGTAAAAAGAAAAAGAGATTTTCAAGAAAAATCAGTTATTGTTGAAGCAAGAAAAGTGCTAGCATGCGAGCAGTGAGCGGCAAGTGGCCGGCCGTAGCAGCAGCAGCAATCTATTAGTTTACGCAACAAGCTTGCATGCCGCAGCCAGAAAGAGTAAACGGGTTATGCGTAAAAAGAATTTGTGGAATTTCTGGGTGGTGGTTATTGAGAGTAGCAGAAGAAGTAGTGTGCAAAAGGCAAGCGCAAATGTGCAACGGATAGTGGTTTTGAGGCGGAAGGTTTTAAGAATTATATTAAAAAACTTAATAAAAATTATATAAATAAAATATAGAAAAAAATATGTAAAAAAAATATAGCACAAAATTATAGCAAAAATTATAACAAAAAGTTATAACTAAAAACAATTATGTTTGAAAAAATCAAGCAGCAAGCTGTAGAAAAATATTACAAAACAAAATTGTAGCAAAGATAAATTATAGCAAAAAGTTATAGCAAACAATTTAATTTGTTATGGAAAAAAATTTTAAGTATTGTAACGAAACAATTTTAAGCTACAGATTTACTGCAATTAACGCATGCAATAAAATTTAAATTGGCAATAAGTAAAAAAATTAAAAGTACTTGCTGCGAAACAGCCGTTAAAAATCAAACAATTCTAAAATATCAAACAGCAATAATCAATTAAGGAAATCTAAAAATAAAATGCATGTAATTACATTTTCAGCAAACGCGCTTTAACGGTTTCACTACTAGAATATAGACAAAATTTTAGCCGTAGCATTCTAAGTTCAAACAAAAAAAGCATTGAGCAACAAACAAATACAATTTAGAACAACAAATGCTGCAAACAAACGGTTAAAACGACGAATATAAGTGCCGACGAAGCAACAAAAAAGCCACGCTTAAAAAGTAGGTTAAACTCTTGAACTCGCAACTACACAGAAAAAAAGCATCAGTCAGTGAAGTAACAAAAAAAACCGGCCCCTACGACCTCACATGTACGAAGTTAAAGTTACAAAAATACAAATAAAATAAGTAAAAAAGATTGTAACAGTAAAACAAAAATCACGTACCGGACATGGTTATCAGAAATGAAAACAAAAAATATATTCATATATACTTGCTAACAAACAAATAAATTTGAGCGACAGAAAGATTTCAATCACAACAAATTAAAAATAATGCTAAAAAAATCATCATAAACTGCTCATAAATGCGCTAATTGTACCGTTAAAAATTAAATATATATTAAGAAAAAACTTGAATCGTTAACTTAAATATACTATAGATAAAAAGTTGAAAAATTTGCATTAAAGTTTTGAAAAAAATAAATCATAAATTAATATAGTGTGTTCTCTTTTTTCCCTTACTACTAAAGCAGACAAGTAAAAGTTTAATATATATAGCAGAAGTGTAGAATAAAATAACAAAATAAGTGCTTAATAAACGGTTTAAAAAAAACCAACGCCCGCTTGACGACCCCTGATAACGTACCACGGTTAAACTCTGTGCCAATAAACGTAAAGTTCGGCGCTTGAAGCACCAACTTACACAAAAGTCAAGCAAGCGACAAAACAAAAAAACAAAAAAAAAAAACAAGAACAACAACAAAAATGGAAGGATTTTATGATGGCGATTTGAAAGATATATGGGATTCCGATTTAGATCCGGTGAGTTTGACAAATTTTTAAGTGAAAAAGTAGTTAGATAGTAATAACTCTTGAATTAGACTAATGTTGTACACATAATGGTGCAAAATGCAAGCAAAAAAATTTTGTTATAAAAACGAACCGAGTACTTGTAATTTAAAAATTAACTGTAATATTTCTTGGCTTCCGTTTTGATTTCGTGTTTGAAACTTTACAATGTGCGCTTAGCCTAAGGCAAAGGAGAGCAGCGCATAATCTAGAAATGTTTCAGCTAATAAATCTTCTTGTGATTAAACATAGGTTAGAAACTTAGGCTTGTTCTAAAAAATATTGTTCGAAATCGAGTATTAAATTTCTATATTTGTACAAAAAGAGTAGAACTTGTGGTTATTTGAATTTGCGTATAACTAATCGTGTGATCCAAGTAGAGGTACTGTTTTCAGTAGCCTTTTTTTGACAGATTGCGTGTGAGTTGATGTTGAACAATATTATGTAATTTTCAAAAAGAATTAAACATATGAATAAAATTTCTAATGCCTGAATAAAATAGATTTTTTATACATAATCCTTGATAATATTATAAATAGAAAATATTTGATTGTTTGTTTGTTCGAATTGAATAGGCGCCGAAACTATATACGGGTTTGAAAAATTCTTTCATTCTTGGGAAGCTACACGCTCTCCGGTGTACATAGGCTATATTATATTTTCAAAAAAATTAAGGAACCTTACTAAAACGCCAGTAAAGTAACCCAACGTATAAAAAATATTTTTTTTTCTCATTAATAATTTTTAAAATAAATATACTCATCCTTCAAAAACCAACTATAAATCAAGGAATTTTTTATGCGCCTACAAAATAGATATTTTACTCACCTTTTCCGGTTGTAAATCTTATTTCGACATAACTGCATTTTTCCTATGTGCGCATTTAAGTTCTACGCCAATGCCAAAAGCATAAACTGCATATGTTTTTGTATGCATGTGAGCATTAAATACGAAAATTTTCCGCTATTGCATTTGAGTAGTAAATTTTACATGCATATGCGGCAAATTACGCTGAATTCTTGTTGAAGTGTGAAAAAATATATGAAAAAATTTTGCACATAAAATAATACCGTAAATTTACAGAAATGACTACATCAACAAACGCTTGCTGCCCCAAAGTCATGCATTCAATCACACACTTACTCATTCAATCATTAATTTATAAGAACACACACACATATGTATACACATGCACATTCGTCACAGAGATTGGCTAAATGATTGCCTAATTGCTATTTGCTATTTTTGCGGAATGTTTAGTGGCACAACAAATTATGTTTTGTATGAATTTGCTGCAGCCGCAGCACGCGCATACTTGCGTGTGTTTGCGCGTGTATGTGTAATTCATATTTATTGTGTGTTGCATGCAAACATGCATTTGTTGCTGCTTTTTAGAATGAGTCGCGCTCGTTGGCAGCCTCTTCATAGTATGTGCAGCTATTTTTAACTTGATTACAGCATGATTTGCAATGAGCGAAACTCACAGTGTTATATTTATATATGTTTTGTTCTGTATCTGTGCAATTGCGTGCGCTTGCTGCGTATGACGAATGCTCTATTGTCTGAATGAATGGTCGCATGGCGCACATGATTTCTTTGTGCTCGCCAAATATTAATTTTTTTCACATATATATTTTTTTTATGAGTACTTTGTATTTGCTAAAGAGCACATTTTCGTTTAAATATAAAATAAATTGAAAATGTTGGAACAATGTGCAATTAATTACAGCAACAAACCGTTAAGCTTTAGCAACAAGCAACTAATGTAACGACCTGTTATCATTTATAAAATTTTTTTCATTAATCATTTATGTACAGAAATTAAAAAAATATTTTTAGGTTATAAATTTCGGCATTTAGGAAGAGTTTATTTAACAATGTGAAATCTCATAATGAATATATACAATATATAAGGGATTAGCCAAAAACTAAATTGAAAAGTCGGAGATCCTATAAAATATATATTTATAAATGATCAACGTGACGAGCTGAGTTGATTTAGCCACGTCCGTCTGTTCGCCTTTCCGTCTGTCTGCATATAAATGAAGAAGCTTCTCCGATATCGGAAAATTATTAAATAACTAGTCATAATCTTTCGTTGATCTCTAACGTTTGTTAACGATTCGAAAAAAATACAAAAATATAGAATACTCTAAAAGAATATAATTCTTTAATTAGAGAAAGTCTGTGCTCTCCTTTCATAAAATGAAGAAGTTCTCTCAATAGATTTCAATTTGAATTTCTAAATGTTGTCCAGTTATACATAGCAAAAATGAGAGCTCACTTGCTACATATTAACACGATTTTAAATTAATTTTTGAATATGTGATTTATATCACTAAGTGTTCAAACAATATCTAGAGTAATTATTTATCGATGCTTACCAATAGAATATATTGTAGTCTGAGAACTACCCGAATTTTCGACTAATTTATAGTTATATAATACAATAATCTGAAATTATTTAATATTTACGATTATATTTGCTGTTGTGGTCTCCCACATTTCGGATCCACACTCTTTAAGGGCATGATTGGGGAACTTTCACTTCTGGTTAAGATATATCTAACCATTCATAAGCGAATTTGTCAAAAAAATAAATTTGTATGCCATTTAGAATCAATCTCCAAATATATACAGAAACATAACACTTATATAAAATACAAATACTATGTACACAGAGACTCTTATGTTGCCTTCCATTTCACAAAAGCATGAAAATATGTTCACAGTTCAAAAATTTTATTATTGCCACCACCAAAAAGTCTTCATATGTACTTCATATATGAAATGCCGCTCACACTCCCTACACAAAACAATTTACCGCAACTACCAGCAAATATTTGTTTCTAAAGCCATCAAACTTATATAAAAAAAAAAAAAATTTCACAAGCAATTCAACAAGTTACAAGCAACATTAAATGATGCCAACCCCGATAAATCAGACATTATAATCAAATAACACACATTTAACAGTACAGTTTTACACATTAATAATTCGTTTGTTCGTTCGAATACTATAAAAAGAAAATGAAATAAATAGGCAGGCTTGCGTGTGTTTTGGAAAACAACGCCGAAAACAAGTAAGAAGTGGAAGAAATTGGTCGAGAAATAAGTGTTGTATATTAAATTATCGATAAGTTAAGTATTTCCATAGCAACTTTGAGGAGCAAAAGAGCAAAAAAATTTCTGTATTTGTGGTTGTGATGTGTTTTGAAAGTTTTATAGTGAAATTACAATATTTCTTGGAACACCAAATTTCAAAATACAGTCATTCTTGTAGTATTCAATTATGTATTTATGTAAAAATATAGTACCGCTAAGTTGTTGTTGTGATAATCAAGTATATAATGGCAAGTGTTAATGAAATTTTTTCGACAAAATACCACCGAAACTACACACCTCACACCAGTATTACCATCATAAGAGAAGCAGTGAAGTTTTTTTGTATTTTGAATTTTTTTTTTTTTTCATTATACTTTTTCTCTCACAAATTTAGTTGTTATTGATAAGAATTTGTGACAGCAATACTCATACTTAGATACGAGTATATGGAAACTGCAAGCAATTGGAATTGAAACCAAACAAGCATGTTTTTAGATAAGTTCACGCCATGGTACCGGCTCCAAAGAACGCTTGCGTAAATTAGTGGGGAAGTGCTGCGTCGCATCGCTAATGTACGCATGTATATTTGTATGCCAATATTCAGCCGACACTTTCAGTACTAGCTTTTGTGTCTCTTTATACTTATATAAAATAATAGACTGTACCCCGGCACTAGTTGATACTCCAACTTTTAGCTTATCGCGGCGGAAATGTTATTGAAATATTTCAAGAATTCCAAGTTTTTCCCAAAATGTTTTATAACATACATAATATAGTATATTTGTTGTATTTTACAACAACAGCATCCACTTGGCATTCGAACCGGTGTGGCAAAGAGAGGAAGAACATGCTACATGCATTATTATCATGTTTTTAACTGTGATAAGGAAATTGTTGTTAACATTTGATTGAATAGGCCGAAAATTCTATAAGAAAAATATTGGCTAATAAAATGAGCGCAGTTTTAATTGCGGTCCAGAGGTTTTGTTAAAAGTTTCGGCGAATATTAGGGGAACTATTTAGAAGGTTATATGTATAAAAATTTCGATCTTCAAATTGGATTTTCACAACATTTTTGACTCCAGCGCCATTTCCTGAGCATATACAATAGCGTAAGCATCCCTGCTAAGAGACTCTTTAGAGATAAGACGCTACAAGTATATAGCATTATAAATGGCGTAATTTCTTAAGCAGCTGTGAGTCAAACTAATCAGTTCAAAATAATTTAAAAAACTGTTATCAATATGAGCACGAATTCTCTTTAAGTTGAGATTTGGCGCAGAGATAAGGCTATCTATATAAAAAAAAAAAAACGATTTTTCTTCATACCACACTGGGTGTGCTCCTTAAAATATAAGCTTCCACTAAGTTTAAACTGAAAAAGACTGAAAAACTATCGAATATATTCTTTCTAGGTTAATAGGTAGACTGAACGTTATTATAAGGTAACTATGCTTTTCTGCTCAAGCATAAAAAGGGAGGAGAAAATTTGGTTTCTTAAGTGAATGTTCATGAACCACTAAATCTTGACGCTGAGAGGTTCGCGGTTTTCTCTAACATAAGGGCTGGCTTCAGCTAAGGACTTCACTATGTTTTTTAGAACGAACTTCTCAGGCGCTTAAGATTTTCTGTATTCCCAAAAGCAAATTGTCAAATTTGAGAATCTGTTCTTTTTTATTAATTAATATATATGGCAAACTAACCTAAAAAAGTTGCAAATTTCAATATAATAGAGAAAGTACGCGTCGTTTATTAAAAAGAGCGCCGAATGCAGCTAAATTTGAGTCAATAGTTTAACGATAACACCAGTAAATTATTATTGCATGCTTTAACAATTTATAGAATTTTTTAAAATAAATTATAACATG